CAGCCGTGGTCACGGGGAGACTTAAGATAGAGGAGTCTCTGACGCCAAAGTAAAAAAAACTGCTACGTTAGCGCCATCTGTTCCATCGAAGTTGTTATTTGGCAAAACTGGCCGATTCAATTCCACTAAATCAAATATTAACTAATTTTTAATGCAAACTAATATATATCGCGTTTTAAACCGTTAAAATGTTTTATTTAAATGTGTATTACTCCTATACTACAGACAGTATTTAAGTATATTAAATTACAAGTATTGATCTTTGAAGTTCCTACGTACTTAGTATAATGTAACAAATGAAAATCGATTGTAAATTGAGCAAATTTACGACACAGGAAAAACTTAAACCGGGGATCACGGTAGCTTAATTGGTTAGAGCAACAGCACGGAACTCTGTCGATGCCGGTTCAAGTCCTGCCCGCGTCGTAGTTTATTTTCATATTTTATTTATATAGTGCCTCGGTATTATTATATATATTATCGGTGCAATAACATGCGGAAAAAATTAAAGTTTTCACAATGTATCAACTTAAACCTAAGTTTTTTTGTGCTTCTCGCGTTTCTACCTGGTTTCTTGCTTCTATTAAATAACGGATATTAAACAATTTTTTCTTTCTACATTTAAATCAATTAAAAATACTTTCTAACTTTAATAGAAAAATACCTTGCATTGAATTAAATACCACACCCATCTCCTAAACTATATCTGTATTGTCTGTAGTTTACTCGACTAGACCACATTTAAATAAAAATTCGACTTGAATTATTATTATTCTTACTTCTTTTTCGTCTTTAAAGGTCACCTAAAGTTTACCCTAGAACAGTCTAGACGATTGAAGGGTCGGTCTCCAAGGGGCTGTAATAACAACGTTCGTACCGGGCATTCAAATACATAATTTAAATTAGTGTGGATATAACAACTTTATAAATTCTTAGAATGTTTTTTTGTTGGAAGTATTTGTTACACTTATTTTTATAGCTACTATCATCGGTCCGTACAAATAGTTGGGCCAAAGTAAATTGTAAATAAGTTTAAGTAATACATTTCGCGTTTTAAACCGTTAAATCGTTTTATTTACATTTTAATATCATTTTAGATTTAAATTCCCAACTTAATTGGAAGGGTACGCTATTCAAGTCGTATTCAGGTCTCGTGTGTAATATTTTTTTTATATATTAAACTTTAATAAGATATATCAAACCTTGTGGGCATATGTAAAAACTACATTTAAATTCCCCACTTTTAAAAACAACAATTGTAATATTACCTCAGTAAAATCCTCTTTCCCCTCGTGGGGCTTGGGGCTACCACATTTTTGGGTCTGTTTTACTGATCGAATTAATTTGCAGGAAAGTAGTTGATCACACTAACATACCCTGCCCGACCGAAACAATCTATTTTTTCTCCGGTATCAAACCCAGGACCTCTCGCGCTTAACGCATTAAAGGCAGCACAGATATTATTAATAAACACTACATTCTTGTTCTTTATTATGCAAAATAGGTTCTTATTTCCAGTTAATAATGCATTAAAGGAAGATCTGTTCAGACGGCCATAAATCATATGATTACATTCATCAGAGAACAAAGCAGCCTTGTATAATTTTTACTCTGTATCTGGAATAGATAAAATATAATGTAGGTAATAAAATGAGTTATCTCTTATTCTTAACCTTACTATTTATTATCTGTAGTTGACGCAGTACACAAATAAGCTCTTAAAATGCTTTAATCTGTACTTTAGTGGTTTACTTATTTTTAATCTATATTTACTACAACCTGACGTTGTTGATGCAGCGTGGCCGTGATCACAATAAGTTAACATTTAAATTTTGCCTTCTAAACCGTTAAAAACCGTTTTATTTTACTGATCTTCGGTCCTGTCTGCAGACATTATAAGAGTACGCATAAAAAATGTTGCGTCATATTTAACAATAAATGTTCTAATATATTATTACAGTGTACTTTTTTTAAAAGAATCAAATAAAACTATATTCATACTTCAACCTCGAAATCCCGACCCGTTTCTACTCGTGGGGCATGGGTCAAACACATTTCTATTACTAAAATTTATAGACTCCTTTCAGCTTACTTTTTTTAACTATAAAATATGTTAAACATTAAGAAACATTCGCAGCCCATGTCCTTGCCCGCAAATTGTCACATCGTTTAATCTTCATACCTACAAATACTTAGTAAACATACCCTTATTATTTTGTAAAGAAAAGAAAGTATGTCACGCGTGTTTACCTTGTTCTGTGCCTTCCGAGACATTTTCTAAAGAGGCAAAAAGGGAACATGAAAAAGACAGTTCTAAAGGGAATAATGAAAATCTTGATTACGACCCATATTACGCAAACGGACTGCATCTTTTGAGTGTTTTTTCTTTAGTAATGAGACTATGTATTTTGTATTTTTTCTAACTTGCCATTTTTGGTCAACAAACGCACAATTTAAATAAAAACGTGATTTTCTCACCAGGTTTATCCTGATAAAAACACTTTCAAACACTGGGTAATATATTAAAGTAACGAAACTACCCCAAACTCAGGTAATAAAAATAACAATTACATCCTAAATTTAAAAAATTATCTAAAAAAAGCATTTACGTAAATGGACAGATTTTTTATGACATAGAAGGCCTAGATAGGCATAGACCTAAAATTCACGATCGCTAAAAAGCGTTATAAACGTTGAGTTAAATATTTTTTTATGTCACCATTAAAAAAAAAGGTCGTCGTAAAACTGATTTTGAATATTTAGGTCGATATATATATATAAAATATTATTTATCATCCATTTGTGTCATCTGTTGCAAAAAAATCATTATATAGTAGGCCATCACTAGTTCTCAAAGTTCAAAATTATATTTATCGTGGTCTTTCGTCAAGTTAGAAAAAATACACTTTACATAAAATCTCAAATAGGATGATAGTAATCTCCGCCTTTACGACATACGTTTAATATGGTTTCCTCGTATACTTGGAAGTCACCGACTACCTTAGCATGCTTCAATTCACACTGCGTCTCATTCCACTGAAGTACTTTCCCATTTGAAGCATTGGTGTCTTAATGAAAACCCGACGCCGCGCCCGGAGCCCTACGCTAATGACGCGAAGGATCTGAATGCCTCCCTCATTATTTATAAAGTGACTACGAATTCTCATTATCCCTTTACAATAAAAAAGATTATAACCCACCTTGGTATACATTTCCTAATGTTCTTAATTATACGTTTGCTATTTTTCTTATTGTAATGAAACTGAATATTTCGTTCCAAATTCAAATTATTATACAGACAAAGTAATAAGTAGGAATAGTAGTAACTGGAAGTGTTCTAAATTCGAATGTTTAAAAACTGTTCCATATTCTTTTTTCGTATGCACCGCTGTTCCAAATATGAATCTGGTCAAAAAAATTGCTATCATCCGATATTTTAAGTAGGTCACATGTTGCGCATCCAAAGACAACCCCTCGTATAAATAGTCTTTGTTTCGCCGCTCCGGGCTTTAGCCTGAGCGTTCCTCTTTTATCTCAAACATAAGCTCTCAAACAGCGTACTTTGATAATAGCTAGTCAATAAAGTGCACCTACGCTGTTTCCATACACAATACCTGGGAGTAGGCTTTAAGTTTATGTCGCGCAGATGTTCAATCGGGAAAAGTCGTTTGGAAAACTACGTTACCTCCTAAAAATCGTATCTGATTAAAGGTTCTGGTGTTGTACTTTAGTGGTAAATTAACTTACACTCATTAAAAATGTTCGTATAGGAGTAATTACTATATTTCGGGGTCACCAACCTAAATATTCCCTGCGTAATAATTACACCGCTGTTACTCACGACCCTCTTCCGCTTAAACTTTAAAGGGTGAGCAATAAAAATTTTGGCTAAAATTGTTACTAGACTCTTTATAATATTTTGGTAAATAAACTTCGAGGAAATTAAAAGTGATGCACATTTTTTATAAGAAACATAATAAATATCATTAAACGTGTATAAATGATCCCGTGTTAAAAAAGTCACGCGATTCCAGTTACCATATTGGTGACGTCATAGCTTGTAAACATTGCCACAATCGCCGTTGTTAGTATCAGTGTCACATATTAAGGTAGTTTTTGGCAAGGGCTTAGAAACAAGCGATAGTAATAATTATTTATATATGTAATTAGCGACCCTGTCCCGGCTTCGCATGGGTAGACATAAATAGGTACAGATATTTAAATTATAAGCAGGCTAATTAAAACGACCATGAATCACTAGATTAGAAAAAAATTGTATTGCGCGTACTACTACTACTACTAAGTGAAGCATAAAAATGTTTAAAAAATAATAATAATCCGGTAATATAATAATATATAAATATATAATAATAAAAATAAATATATAATATAAAAATAAATAAATATTACTGAATTAATAAAAATGCTTTTTCAATGCATGTTTATCTTTAAAAACGGCATTATAAATTTTTTCATTCTGTGACCACAGCTGCTGCAAAGCATCCGATACGTGGAGCCGTAGTTAAATTAACTTTCAAATAACTAGTTCATATTGCGTTTTAAACTGTTAAAGTGTTCTATTTAAACAGTTACTTAGATTTTAATAAACCGCATTCTAAATTTACTTCGGATACGAAATTTCCTAGGCTTTGTATGTCTAGGTTTTTGTCTTAGGTTTAGTATTACTTAAAGCAGGGAAATATTCCTGTAGGTGTCAGATCATCGAACTATTGTTTTAAATGAACGTCTAAATTGGCATTCTCTGAAACCCCGAGCACCGATCGAGCATCACACAATATGAATTGAACGCTGTTTGTGTGCTTTGAGTTCTGACTCATCTGTTAGGGTTCGCCTCCCTCGTTATTCCTTTGTTAATCGTCTGTTGTGTCTATATCTATACGCATAAAGGTATGAAAAATTGAAAGGCATCTGTTGAAAAGAGCAATCGTTCCCTTTCAAATTGTTTCTCTTCGAGATATTATACTCTTGTTTCTTTTTAGACGTGCAGGAGCGCGTAGAAATATGGAAAGTGGGAGTGGGGTGGTGTATCGAGTGGTAGGACGCACTCGGAGTAAAGCTGATTGTGGTCAGCAGACTGAGAGGCAGCCGCCTGTCCCCAGACAGGATACTACTTGGAAGAAGTACACCGACTCTCCGGGAGTTGGTGCTCCGCCAATGGTGAGTCAATGTAGACAGGATCCGCAAAGAAGTATCACTGTTCAGTGGCTAACATGAACAAAAATTTATCAGTTTTTCTTTTTGTACGGACATGCTTTTTTCATTGCTTTTATTATAGATCAATAGATTAAAAATCTATTTAATATAGTTATTTATATTTTTTGAATCTTATGTTTTCACATGTATGGGTAAATATAGTGTAGGAATAAATAAAAAATCAATTCTTCAATGCAACACAAAGTATATATTATCACAAGTAAAAATTATTATTAACAATACAATTTTTAAAGATACATTGTTCTCACCACCTCACCAGAGTGCAATGGGCGGCCTTATCGCTATAGAGCAATCTCTTCCAGGCAACCCTTGAGTAAAATGAAATGAGTTATGTCATGGGAACGTGCAGGTCATCGAAGCTTAACAATAAAAAAAAGAATATTTAATAGATTTCTCCAGATCAATAGACAAGTTATGAGTTCGACGTGGTAGCATTTTTTCCTATCTATCCTTTAAATAAATATTATTAAGTTTTAACAATATCCTTTTGACAGAACCAACCGCCAGCGCCACCGAGTCCTTCACACAGCCGAAAAAGCGAAAGACGCGCGGGTCACCACTCCCCTCAACACAAGCGAGAGAAACTGACGGCTGCACAGCAATTGGGCATCGCTCCTCATCCTCAGGTTTGATTCCCTACAACAACATACAAATACATTAATTACCGTATGACAGATACATTTATGTGTCCTTGTGTACTTGTGATTCAAATCGAGGACCTCGCGCACTTATCACAATGCTTTTGACTAAGTAAGGGGGTTTTTAAAAATTTTTGGGTTCTCAAATTATTTTAAAGATAGTGAGAACATTGTCTAATATAATGAGTATTTTAACTTACAAAAATTCTTTTATTTAGACAGTTAAGGCTAGAATAACACTGATTACAATATGCTTCATTAAAATTATAACAGAAAAAGAGTAGTTTTGGTATGAATCTTTTCTTACTATATAATGTTCAAATAGACAGTATTTTTAGTTTACGCGAGTAGTACACATTTAAATAAAACACTTTAATGGTTTAAAACGCGATATATTAGTTAAACTTATTTGGAAATGATTTTTAACTTCGGCCCGACATTTCGGATGCTTTTCAGCAACCGTGGTCACGGGGAGAAGTTTAACTAATATATCGCGTTTTAAACCGTTAAAGTGTTTTATTTAAATATATAATGTTCCTCTAAAACGACTTCACCTAAACTTTTCTTTGTTAGCTCCATATTGACAGATTTTTTTTAATGACTTTGATGGTAGGAGAAATACCCTAGCCGTATAAAATCTAAACTAGATTTAGATATTCGAAAATCCACAGACAAAATCCAAACCTTTTTCTGTGGACGGTGGTTTGTGTCCCGGGCAGAATTTCGATATCTTACCCCCCATTTAATATCCAGTGGATGACCACGTTTCAGGACAATATAAATTGATTAGATATACGTTGGACCCGGTGGGGGTCGAACCTACGACCTCTTGATTATTAACATTACACCAACGAACGCGTCGTGATTCTTGTCTATATTAAAAAAATACGACACCAACATCGAATAGAACAGAAAAGAAGTTGGTTAACAAAAAAACAAATGAAAAAATTCACAGTGACAGGGGCCTGGCATTGTTCCACAGTTCCAGGTGACCTAACTTTATTGTACCGATTCTCAAGTACTACCCTCTGTGTGCCAAAAAGGTCTGTTCGCGGCTAGTTCTCGCGATAACAACTCTTGGCACTGTGCCGAACAAACATTTGTTAAGCGCTATAGTCATTAATTATTATTTGTTGTTCAAGTGGTGGATTTCGATTTTCAGTACGCCGCAGCCAATTCCGCAAATCAACATGCATCAAGGGGAGGAAGCTCTCAGGTAAAATTCAATATGTAAAACTACATTATTTGTACTACGTAATATTATATACGAAATATACAGCATATATAATGTTAATTATATAGCATTAAAACACTTAACGGTTTAAAAAGCGAAATGTATTAGTAATTTGAATTACGACTTCACGGCGAAAGTTATTTTACTTCACGCTTTAGCGTTAAAAGTGTTGCAATAATTGTTCAAATAAACTACATACACAAATTATTGTTAACGACATTCGTATCAAATATGATAAAAGTCCGCCAAGGTATTTACAAAAAAAAATCTCAAATTATAAAAAAAATAACTACGGCCCGACGAAAGATACTTTGCGGCAGCCATGGTCACGGGGAGACTAATATAATATAATTTTCAAATAAGTCTAACTAACATGGGTTTAAGTAAATAAAGTATTTTATTTAGATACGTACATATTGTTGATAAAACAGTAAATATAAACTTTTTTATTTGTCCCATTTCAATAGAAAACAAAATCACAAACTGTATATGTTCAATGTTTAATATTTTGCATAATTGTGGAAAATAAACGGAAAAAATCTACATTTAAACGTGGTCAACAAGCCACGTTCATACCAAATTTAATTTAAACGGGATTAATAGCTTTAAGGTTTTTCACAACGCTTTGGTAATCCGGCGCAATTTTAAATCAAGAGCTCGCCTATTAAGTATGTTTTCACTCCCTTACGGAAGTTTTAAAACCATTTAATCTATAAAATACGACTTTCAGTCCAATTTACAGTCGTCAGAAAATGTTTACCAGCCGTTGATTAAAAATACGAACGCATATTTAAACAAAACATGAATATTATTCAATAATTTCTGAGATACTCCAATTTATTAAAATAAATAAGTTTTTATTAGGTTGAAAATTTTAATATCTTACGCATGATGGGTTTTATAGAATTAAAATCGATTTTAGATTGAAAAAAATGTACGACTCGGGCAGTACATGAATCTATATCCACAGCGTTCTGTGCCGGTGCTCTAACCAATTGAGCTACCGTGTCCTACACGTCATCGATAATTGTCTAAAAGTTATAATTAATATGAAGTATATGTTATAACTTTATATATTTTAGACCAGGTCCCTTCTGACCGAGGAAGGGGAGACCCCGTCGTCCTTAGCTGTTTAAGCACTATGGGCAAAAAAAAAAAAAAATCAATTTTACTTTATTCAAATATTTTTTTTTTAAATAATAATCTACATTTTTACTTCAAACTGTAACGTGATACTGTGCACAGTAAATAATGTTTCTATTTTATAAATTACAGCTGCAATCGCCAAGTGGAGGATCGCGGCCGTCTAGTGTTTCGAGTGGAAACGGCAGCAGTTCCTCAAGTAAGACGAAGGGACCCCAAAATTTCGGTTATGCTAAGAGACAGAATGGTGCTCAACCACCCCCATTGCCCGCCAATGGACCTCCACAGCATACTCATAGTAAGAAGAACAATAGTAATATATATACTATATCTTTCTTCTTTACTATTTTTAACTTACGTTCACAAAATGAACAAATAAACAGATTTGTTTCGATAGTGAATAGTTAACTATCATTTTTTGTACTATTTTGTAATGAATTAGTAATAAAATAACACAATACAATACACAAAGGGGACAATCGGGATTAAATTGAAATTTTGATTTTGAATTAAGTAATATTTTTGTTGACCACATCTATAATAATTAGGCTAAGAAAAATGACAGTCATTACTGAAGTCAAGTCTAGCTTACGAGAACAACAAAACTATAATTCCATAGAAATTTGATAAACATACACACATATTTCTAAATTTTTTGTTCTTCTTTCAGGTGGAAGAACAGCGCAGGTTACAGCAGTACCACGAACAAAGGTTAAGGTTTCCGGAGGGACGCAAACTTGTACGCAGGATTTACAAATCCATAGTAAGTTACTTTTTTCAAACATATTTTGGATACTAACAAAAAATATTTGAATTAAGAACCCGCTTTTCTAGAAATGATCTCGAAACGTCGAATAATACGAGAAATAATTCTTCTACATAGGAGAAAATTTAACATATGCCTTGTATGTGTGTAAAATATAACTTTATCTATACATATATTAAAAAGCTGAAAATTTAATAATTTTAATTTGTTTATTTATTTAAACGCGCTAATCTCAGCAATGACGGTTTCGAGTTAAAAAAAAATTGTGTTGGTTGGACCAATTATCTAAAAAGGCTTTAGGCTATATGACATCAGGCTAGAAGCGACACCATGGTATGTGGAAATACACTGGAGATTTGGAAACTAACTGGAAAGTGAAATTTGAAAACTGTAAATAAATAAAAAGTATCTGAAGAAATATAAAAAAGCATCGCCCAAGTCTTATAAAAGTACCCTTTTCTAAAACAAATTTGTTAGGAAATTATAGAATAGTAAATATACTACATAAAAAAGACATTTTCTATGATACATGGAGTGAGCTCGTGAAGTGTTTACAGTTTATGATTTCATATAGATTATAAAATAATAAAGTGTTAATTAGTAATAGTAAACTAAGGATATTAGTGAATAATTGTAATCTATATTTAGTTATATTTCTAGTTAGTTATTAAGTTCAGTGTCGAATTGGGCTCCCACCTGTCATGACATGAATTTTATTGATTAAATAAATAAAATAAAATAAAAAGAACAAAAAATATGTCTACTTGTAAGATTAAACAAGAACCGCTTTTATAGCAATAAAAATTCTTAAATATGGCAAAATAACGTTTGGTAAGTCAACTTTATATATAGTATATATATAAATAATTTTGGTTTCCGAATCTCAATTACAGAAAACGGTATAGGTCCGAAGTCCTACTCACTGCAGGGCAGCACTGCAGCTCAGCTTTCAGCATCGGTAAGAGAACGTCTACTCGGCTCCCAATCACTACCGAAGCCAGGGACGCATGAATTTGCTGCTCTTTTCCACCACCATAGGTACGTACTTCCAACCTCGTTTATTAGTATAATCAATAATGTTAGCAATATCCCTTAACCACTGCTTCGAAGCTTTGGAACTTATAGGGTCCTTTGCATAAATACTTTTTCCATTTGTAATTTAAATAATATGTAATTTATAAAAATACCTTTGTTCGTTTAATTTTGCACACAAATCGTACGTGGATTATTTGACAGATATTTTTTTAAAACAAAGACTATTTTGTTTTGTTTTTTTTACAATTTTTACATTTGTTTATAAAATAACAAGCTAACTGTAGTTTTTTGTTAATCGATTTTACATTATTTCTAACGGCATTATATATATTTAACTCTATAGCTTCCTTTCCTAGCTCTTACGTTCAAATCTTTCGGAGATTAGCGTATACATACATACAGATAAGATCTTTTATTATGCCTCTTTCTATATCATCACATCTAATTATCAAAATATTTTTGTATTAAACTATAACTATAATAAGTTTAAGATGATGCCTTACTGATCAATATGATTTCTCAATCGAAGATCAACCAAATAAACGAGTTTCCGTATAGATAAGGCAATAACTCCCAACACTATCTTATCTTGAACTGTTTATTTACCATATTTGTTACACAAATCCATGGGAATCAACTCAGTTTTATTTCGATTTGTGCCCTGAAGAGACCGATATAATTTCAGAATACCAAGAGGCGGTATGAAGATCAGCGATGGTAGTCTCTCTGACACCCAGACTTACTCTGAAGTGAAGTCTGACTACGGAATACCTTATGCCCCCTGGCTTAGACACAGGTACTTGTATGTTAATATAGCTTTGTGTCATGCTCCCCTCCCCAAATTGTAAAATACTGTATACAAGGCATCGCCCCTCATACCCTGAACCATAGCTGTATGCTGTCCAGTAACTGAAGCATCACTACATGCTTATGCCGTTTCCTGCCCGCGGTCCCGACTCGCGTGGCCAGCATGAACCCTTTTCTTCAATTCCAGCAACACATATTCGGCAAGCGGGCGCCTATCCGAGGGCGAGTCGATGGAGTCACTGACGTCACTGCACTCTGCGCAGGCGCACAACACTCCATCCACTAACTCACACCACCGCAGCTCACTCACACACAATAAGCTCATCATGCACCGGGACGCTCAAACGTCCAGGCTTAACAGAAGCAACAGTATTAGGTAGGTCTTCCAGAACTTTCCATCCAGGTCGTAGATAGAGACTCTCGTATCCGATCCCTTTGGCTTTGGCTCGACCCATACCAATCATTCATAATTTGTGTATGTCTATCTGTATGTTACGTATGTAAATCTGTTTTATTAACTTTTAGCTATCTCAGAGATAGGACGTTTCCAAGGTATGCCACGATGTGTGACAGTCATGTTTTGCTTCAAGGTGGCACGCTTTGACGCAAACAATAATTATTCTGCATGGGAGCAAACGCATTACGGAAATAATACATTCTATTAGTATTATAGCTTTTTTGCCTTTATTTCGCATTTATTATAGACGTTATTCGTATTAAAACTGAAGTTATGGTAGACTCCAAGTATCAAGAATGGCGAGACGTGAGGACCTGGCTTCGAATCGTGGGGAACAATGAATTAAATACTGTCTATAGTTTACGCGAGTAGTACACATTTAAATAAAACACTTAAACGGTTTAGAACGCGAGATATTAGTAAAACTTATTTGAAAATGATTTATAATTTCGGCCCGACGTTTCGGATGTTTTGCAGCAGCCGTGGTCACGGGTCTTCCCGTTACCACGCCATCTTCACAATCATTTTCAAGTTTTACTAATATATCGCGTTTCAAATCGTTAATGTTTTTTTAATCAATGAATTATTTCTGTCGGATAGGGCATACAAGTCTCATCGACGCTTGTAAAGAAAATCGTTAAAAATAAAGTCATTTTTAAAATGATGTTAACTTTAGGTTTTATTTAATTTAACAGGAAATTGTTCGCATATTAAGATGTACCTAATATGCGAACAATTTGATTGCCTAACGGCGTCAAGTTCAGTTCTTATCTGTTGCTTATTTTATTACAATATATAAATTCTTCATCTTACAAGCTTCAGGCAAAATATGAGCTCATATGTTGCATATGTGTAAATCTTGTTAATACTATTTTTTATCATGAGTATATATTATTCATATTTCTTATTTTAGTGCATACAAAAGTTTTAATTATGCATAATTATTCATAAAAAATATATAAATTAATTCAACGTTTAAATAAAAGTTGGGTAACGTATACTCACTATAAATGGATATATGTTGGCGTGACAAAAATAGAAATGCCGATAGAAAAATTGCGTTTGAAGTTATCAGGAGTTTACGCAAATTTATATATATTTAAATAAAACTTTTTAACGGTGTTAAAATGCGAAATGTATTAGTAAATTAATTTTTAACTATAGATCGACGTTTCGGTTGCTTTGCAGCAGCAAAATCAGATCTGTTTCTAGCACCATCTGTACTGTACTACAGACAACTTAAAACTGTTTGACTAATGTATTCAATAAAACAATGTATTAAATCACGCACAATTCAAACATTCAAGTTATATAACATAAACAAAGTAGCCTTTAAAATTTCGCGTATTTATTAAAATCAAATAATATTTTCGCGTTTTAACCGTTAAAAGTGTTATAATTAAAATAAATTTTGGTATTAAAAAAAAAATAGTTTTCTAAAGAGCATTTCCATCAAAAGCATTTAGTAAGCTGTATAGATTTTTTGGCAATAATTTTATCATACTTAGTATTATAGACAGACTCCATTCAGTACTTTCTTTTTAGATCCACCAAATCTGAGAAGTTGTACCCGTCGATGCTGCAAAGATCATCTGAAAGTGACTATGAGCCATACTACTGCTTACCTGTTCAATATGGAGCTGGTGGGCAAGGTTTGTTTGCAATATCACACATAATATTGTCCGTAATGCTTAAGTTATCATGAACTTTTACTTATTACCATATAAAATATACAATAATCGTTATTAATTCCATAAGAAGTATTTGAACATATATATGAGGCTACTAGAGAAAGAATGGCCTAATAACAATACAACATGATTTTCAAATAATTAACTTAGGCGAAAATAAATTAACACTATTATTTGTGTACTGTACGCTTGTAATTAACATTTTTAGTCTATAAAAATATAAATAGTCAAGTCATAAAATTGCAGCTAGGCTACTCTGGCTCTAGCCATCATACATATGGCATTTATTTTATATGATTATATAAAAGTAAAGCCGCTTTTTTGGCGAGCTCGGTGGTCTAATGCTAGCAATGTATGGCTAATCCATGCATCGCGGGTTCGATTCCCATCGGGTCTAACATGGTGGTAATAAAGTTATAATTTTTCTGAAACATGGTAGACATCGTCTGGAAATCTGAATTTTAAATTGGTAGTAGAATTTTTAAAAGAAGAATATAAGTTTAATCCGTTTCGGTTTAAGTCTCACGATTTCCGAATATCTAAAGCCAAAATAGTTCGATACCGCATCGTGTTAGCAGTTATATGACTGGGATATTTGTCTAACATTGTCTGTCCTATATCAAAAATAAAACTAGAGTTTTCGAAACCCCAATAACAAAATTAAGTAAAGTTCATTTGAGTGTCAAGATGTTTAAATATGTAAGAAATGGTAATGAGTAAATGTTTTGATGACATTTTATTTTAAATATAGGTCTTAACTACGGTGTGTCGGAACCGCCATCACCTTCACCACGATCGGCTCTGAGTCCCACACACCAACCGGCAAGTGTCATACACACCCCGAGACATTCACACCACTATCCCAAGAAAAATGATGAAGGTACGATTATATTGTCATGTATGAAATACTGTTCAAAGAAATACTGTCTATAGCTTACGCGAGTAGTACACATTTAAATAAAACACTTTAACGGTCTAAAACGCGATATATTCGTTGTAGTAAACTAATATCTCGCGTTTTAAACCGTTAAAGTGTTTTATTTAAATACTGTTCATAGATTTAAGTATATTTTTATATATAACTGTCTAAGTAGCTCAAGCTCAATTACCGAGAAAGGCTATTATAGGCTATAAACATCGCGCTGTGGCTAATAGGAGCGAAGAAACATCGTGTGGAAAAATGGGGGGGAAATTATCTCTGTGGGTTTCCAACGTGTACGCTGCGAAAACAGCTCAAGACACCAAAATATATTTATGAAAGAATGATCTCTCTTTAAATGATCTAAAACAATGTCCGTGATACTATATGTATATCTTTTAAGATTAACTTGCATCACGGGATGCGACCGACGTCATGACATCACGACAATAGCTTAAATTTATAGAGTTGAACGGGAGGTTTGAAAATAATTTTCATGCCTAAAGTAACGAAGTGCGTAGTAGGAAATAATAGAAAATCTATTTACAGTGCATGGATCTACCGCGTCTCTGGTGTCCACGGCGTCTTCTCTGGCTGCGGGTGCAGGTTCAGAAGAGAGACACGCGCATGAGGTAAATACGCCTGTACGTACACCAAGATCGTCAATCCATCTATATTTATATTATTTTATATACCATATGCCTAATATAATATTCACTTTTATAATTCTTGAGACATACTGACAATTGATAGAGGAAGACACTCTGTTGGCGGTGGTTTCGGGCCCCGTCAAAAAACTTTTTAAAACTTAGTTATTGTGACGGGACACTATTCCCATCAATTCGTAAAACTGTCGGTTTGTCCTTGACTGTATGTCATGCATCATTATAGAATGTTCAAGGTTTTGTCTAAAGTTTATTTATATATCTATCGCCGATATAAGAACTAATATTATCTGTAGTCATGATTTTTTGCAGTTCATTCCAATAATTTTCTTTATATATAAACTGTGCTATCATAAATTGTATGATATGCTTATCTGTGGATGCCTTATTTAAAAGTAAAAAATTTTACTTTTAAATTTTGATTTTCGAAAACTAAATTTAAAAAGAAAAAAAATATATTTACCACGCACAAAGTACTACGTTTAGTTAAATAGAAACAACTAAATCGATGTTTTCATCCCTTCAGCCCGAAAAGCAATGATATGCTGAACGATAGCCGTGAAAGCCTTGCACAATTTATTGCTTCAACATATTTCATAATATTGTGCACCTTTTTGAAGTCGCTTAATTAAATCCGTTTGTTTTAAAGGTCCGAAAGTTACGGCGAGAGCTGGCAGATGCTAAGGAAAAGGTTCATACCCTCACGACGCAGCTCACAACTAATGTAAGTACAATATCAATGCCACAAATATATGTACGACGTCATAGTGTGAACTGTAAAGGAGAAAATGACGAGAAAAACTATTTAACATTTTCCGCTTTGCGTCTTCGATATTTGGTTCTGCAATACATCAAAAATGACATTATAAACACTCACGAAAATGAAAAGTTATATTGTGGGTTTTTTGGGTTTTAGGTTCGTTGGTAGTATTGAATGGCTCTAATAATCAGGTTGTGAGTTCGATCCAACGAGTCTTAATGTTTCCAAAAATCAATTCATAACTTAGATACTGTCTATAGTTAACGCGAGTAGTTCACATTTAAATAAAACACTTTAACGGTTTAAACCGTATTTAGTTAAACTTATTTCTTATTCTTTTCTATTTCGTATCGTGGTCACGGAGTCAGTCTCCCCGTAACCACGGCAGCTGCAAAGCATCCGAAACGTCGGACCGAAGTTGAAAATAATTTTCAAATAAGTTTAACTAGTATATTGTTACACTTTAACGTTTTTAACCGTTAAAGTGTTTTCTTTAAATTAATTAATAACTTATAAAACGTGTCATTTGGATGATCTGGATAGAATGAACGGCAGAAATTTTAAACTGTAAAATAGAAGACAAGATCTGACTTTTTATGATAAACTAAACTAAAACAACCCATATCATTGAGATATATGGCCGAGGTATTTCATCTCCAAATAAATGACCCCATGCTTCTCTGTCATCGTAATGATAGGAAAGATCATTGGATCGTCCCGTAAAACAAGAATCAAACATTGTCCACATACAATGTAGTGGTACTAAGAACTAACTGCAATCTCCAAGCTATCGCGTTATCTTTGAAGCATATACATCACGTCCTAAAATGTTACCTAAAATATGAATATCTTCACGTCTGGCAATGTTATTATGACACAAGTCGTTCTCATTTTTTTTAGTGTTAGTTTTGAACGGTTATTATATATTTAAATAAATAAATAATTTATTGTAAGAATTACGCGTGAAGTAAATAAACGTGAATTTGGATTATAAATTTTGGAATAGTAAGAAAAAAGTATATAAAGGCAAAGCAAAAAATAAATATATTCTGCAGTCTATTTATTGAGAAGAAGAACAAGGAGTCAGACATTGTATGGAAATAATAATTATTCAAGGACTAAAATTAATGCGGTTGTTCGCCCTTGGCTACCAAAAACAAAGAATATACGGTAGTTGTAACATATATCTTGTCCGAGAAGCCTTTCACAGAATGTGTTTTATTAGTCTAAGAGCCTGTGTTATATGTAATTGCAGTTCAATAAATTATATACATTTTTAAATACTGTCTGAGTAGTTCAGCGTTTAAGTAATACACTTTAACGGCCTAAAACACGATTAGTTCAACGGTTTAAAAATGATATTTAGTTAAACTTGCATTTCTTATTCTTTCCTGCAGCGTGGTCTCGGGAACTGCAAAGCATCTGAAACGTCGGGCCGAAGTTAAAAATCATTTTCAAATAAGTTTAACTAATATCTAACTAATCGCGTTTTAAACCGTTAAAGTGTTTTATTTATATATTCATTTTTGTTATAGATAAAATGTTAATACGTAACTAAGTACATTGTGCAGTTACTTTTTATTCTTATAACGTACTGTCTGTAGTTCACGCGAATAGTACCCATTTAAGTAAAACGCGATATATATTAGCTAATTAAGTTCAACTAATATATATTGCGTTTCAAACCGTTAATATGTTTGTTATAACGTTTAATAATGCGTCAAATAACTAAAATAACATATAACTCGATACGTAACGAATCGCCCTTCTATAAGAAACTCAAAATGGGATTTTAGTAACGTACCTCTTAATCGTTGTTTTAAATAAAATATATATCTCTTAGACTACACCAATATGATACACTCAGTCACAAGAAATACAAGATGCTGACAGAATAATTGGGACACCTATCTTGATAAGAGCGTAAAGCAGTTGTATGTTGTAACCTTATACACCAACTCACCAATACTGCGGTTAGCGTCTCCATTCTGTGGTCATTTAAAAGTAGTCATTTTTGTTAAAGAATCAAATAATGAAAATCTTAGTATCTTTGGGACGTTACGTTTTAAAGATTGTTTATTAATACGTAATAATGTAGATATAAATGTAGTATTGCGTTAGTAATATATAGGTTTTGTACTGTCTATAGTTTACGCGAGTAGTACACATTTAAATAAAACACTTTAACGGTTTAAAACGCGATATATTAGTTAAACTATTTGAAAATGAATAGTTTAACTAATATATCGAGTTTTAAACCGTTAAAGTGTTTTATTTAAATATAAGTTTTGTGACGAATATCTAAAGCCAGAACAGACCTGTCGGCCTGTTCTAGTTGTCTATCTTACTCTGTTATAAAAAAAACTGTCTGCTTCACTGATCTAATTCTATAGTTCATCGACCTATGTGCCTTACTCGAACGAAACTGTTTTTTCCTGGGTTCGAATCCCGCGCAATAGTAAGCCACGTGTTTTTGATGTGTTCAAGAAGTTAACAGTATAAATAACTTGTGTAAGACTTTCACGGCCATCGTTCAGCATATCATTGTCTTTCGGGCTGTTCGGCCGATGTGAGCGAGAGGAGGTTCTCGACGTTTCGCCATCACCTGAGGACGGCATCATCAGGAGATACTCCTCCATTCGAGGAGTTAACATCGGCCGAACTGCCCGAAAGACATCGTATATGCAGTATAAATAACACTTCGCTGCTCCTAGTTTGGAATATTCAAAGCCATAAATAAATCGACGGCACATCTTGCTTAGGTGTAATATGGTTGGAGTATTTCACCTATCATCAAGAAAACCTTGTTTTTCTGTTATTGGCGTGTCTGTCCTCATCTATCATAGCTAGCAAAGTTTCAAAGTTGGTGTGAAAATTTCTTACGGTATTTTGTCATTAGAATTTCCAATAAGCGTCTATAATCGGCACGACAGTATGACACAGATCAAATAATAAGATAATAGAGGGTCGAGTCACACGGCCGTGAGACGTGAGACCACTAACTCCTTATTGGGATCTAGGAATGTATGCCAAACCACTACTGCAGTAGGACCTGTGGGTACAGTACCATCAATACATCTTAAGTTTACCACTAGCGATTTCGTGCTTTAGGGATAAAACTTTGCTGTCTGTCTGTCACTATTCAATATTTCAATACAAAATAAGGTATAAAAATTAAGGACAATCGGCTGCTTTATATCTAAAAAGCTATCTCTTCCAAGCAACCGCGGAAATAAAAATACATTAATAAAAGGGGGTATGCGTGACAGCAGAAACAATACGTACATATAATGACTATAATACACAAATGAGATGGTATTGAATTGTTTTTGTCAGATTAATTATTTCTGTCAATGGCTTTCCCTACAAAAAATATTGTGATTTTTTACACTACGACAGGCTTGCGCACGATTCGTATTTGGCGTTTTAAAAAATATATTTTCAAAATTCGAACGTTACCAAAAAATTCAGCCACAAAATCATTGATAATTTCTATATTATTTTTATTATCTATACACAAACTATTTCAACTTCTCCGGAACAAATAAGCCGTGAATTCATTTTAAAGTATAATATACAGTAGCATATTTCTTAGTAGAATACTGAAAAAATTTACGCACTATTTAGCAAATTATTGCGGTATAAAAAATAATAGATATTCTTTACCTGTTAGTAATTATTATTATATAAGAAATTGCCAGTTTAAGCTACCTTAAACAGTAATAAAGCAAACTTAATCATTTCCGTCCGTCACAATTGTAGAATTAATGTAATCCACGAATGCGGCAGTTAAACGGACCATAGACGGCTAATAATATTTTTTGATATTTCGTAGTTGGTAACATTAGGAAAAAATTATCATATAAGGTCATATAAATCTTCCTTATCTACGTAGAAGCAAATGATTTAAATTGCAAATAGAAACGACAAGTACGGCGAGTCTTGAAAGTAACATTGGAAACTCTTTACGTAGTTTATTTGTATAGAAAATCAACTGTCTGTAGTTTACGCAAGTAGTATATACTTAAATAAAACACTCTAAAGTTTTGAAACGCGATATTCATTAGTTAAACGTGTTATATTCATACCGCCCCGCGCCTTGGGGGGCTTTGCGGCGGCCTGGTCACCTGGAGACAAAGGTGGAGTGAAACACCGTCCTGCAAGGACGCGGCCGCGAAACTTACACTCCGACGGAAAATAGATAGAAGAAAAAAAAAAAAACACCAAATTCCCCCCCCGGGGGCCCCCCCCCCCAGAAAAAAAGGGGAAACGGGGGGGCGGGGGTAAAATAATTTTGACAAACAACCTGAACCTTAATAGCAAGTTTAAGGTTGAAATTAATTGAGAAGTATAAAAAGATGAAAAAATTGAAGGTGAGGACTCGGTAGTTATCTCGGTAGGTATTGGTAAAGCAACACAGGAACGCTGACGGAAGGGGGGGGGGGGGGGGGGGGGGGGGGGGGAATTTTTTTTAATTTATTTTCCAGTTTATTACATTTTCAGACATGTTCAATCTATATATATCGCGTTTTAAACCGTTAAAGTTTTATTTAAACGAGCACGTCTGTTTCAGACGCACATGAATAAACTTCGTTCGAACTCTAGTGCGGTTAGGTCAAGGTGTATCAATAAAACCTATTTTAGGAACGATAAATCAATACACAAGATCTTAGAAAAGACGTCGTAAAAATTCATGCGTACGGTCCATATCGTTGTGGTTTTATGGCTATTGTAACGCACCTTTGTGGTAGTTTTACAAAGGAGTAACGTGGACAAACATAGCACATAATAACTTCTAACTTCTCGCTTACTTGTTTTGCATTACACAATGTTGAATACAATACAGTTTTAATGTTACCTTTTATAGGTGCAATGTGTACATAAATCACAATGTGTGCTAAGATTACCAATCAGTTATGTTATTTTTCTATCCTTTATGACTCATAAGGTATTCAACAGGAAAGACCGAGGGTTCGAATCCCAGCAAAACATCATAGTTTTGTCTGAAGTTGAGCAAATGTAAAGTGTAGTTTAAAATTTGAAGGGACCCATACGACAATCAGATAGTTGACATTTTTCGCGTTTTGAACAGTTAAAAGTACTCTATATAAACAGGCCTTTACTTACATTTCAGAGTCATATTAAGAACTTCCTTG